AGGCACAAAAATCTTCAATATCTGCAGAAATTAAATCCAGCAGTGTATAAAAATATAGTATACCAAAACCAAGTGGGATTATTCGGCGTATGCAAGGCTAGTGCAATATTTTAAAAATCGACCAATGCTGGGACTTCCTTGGTGGTCCAGCGGTTAGGAATCCGCCCTGCAGGGCAGGGGATGTGGGTTCGATCCCTGGTGGGAGAACCAAGACCCCACTCGCCATGAAGCGACTAAGTCCAAGGGCCACAACAACTGAGCCTGCATTCCACAACTGAAAGATCCCACACAAGGCGATGAAGAGCCAAGAGCCACAGCTAATGCTCCATGCCGCCGAACAAACATGCAAACACTTTCAAACAATCAATCAAAGTAATACATATCGACAGGACAAAGAAGAAAACTCCAAGATCACATCAACTGATGCACAAAAAATCACTCAACAAAATTCAACACACATTCATGGTGAAAACTGAATTCTGGCTGAGTACACTTCAACCAGAGAGGAACTTCTTCAACCTCCTAAACAACGTCTGTGAGGACTTCACATCATGCTTAATGGTGGAAGAGTAAATGCTTTCTCTCTAAGATGGAAAACAAAGCAAGATTAAATGCTTTCTCTCTAAGATGGAAAACAAAGCAATCTTATTTGATGTAGTACTGAACATTCTTGCCACTCAGATAAGGTAAGAAAATAAAGGTTGAAAACAAACAGAAGAGAAAGAAATAAAACGGTCTTTTTACAGAAAGTATGACTGTCTACACAGAAAACTGTAGGAAATCTACCACAAAAGTTCCTGGAACTAATAACTGAGTTTAGTAAGGTCACAGGGTATGCAATCAACTCAAAAATCAATTGCAGTAACCTCCTCAGTGGTCCAGTGGCTAAGACTCCACATTCCCAATGCAGGGGGCCTGGGTTTGGTCCCTGGTCAGCGAACTAGATCCCACACGACACAACAAACACCCAGCACAACAAATTAATAAAAATATCTTAAAAATAAATTGCATTTCTAAATTTCTAAAGTGGAAATCAAAATTTAAAAATGGAACACAATTTTTATTGCTTTAAAAAAAAAGAAACACTTAGGTATAAATCCTAATAAAACTGAATGCAGAGAATCTATATGATGAAAACTATAAAATACTGATGGAAGAAATCAAAGGGAATCTAAATACTTGAAGAAATCTACCACGTTCATGGATTGGAAGACAGTGAAATAAAGATGCCAATTCTCCCTCAATCGATATCTTGGTTCAACACAATTCCTACCAAAAATCTCAGTGAGTTTATTTGTAGATATAGATAAGCTTATTCTAAAAGTAACAGGAAATGATGAAAGCCCTAGAATAATCGAAATAGTTTTCAAAAAGAAAACAAAGTGAGAAGAATCACTTTTCCCAATATTAAGGTTTAATCTATAGCTGCAGTAATCAAGACAGAGTGATACAGGCAGAGGAGCAGTCAGTCAGTTCCGTCGTGTCCAATTCTTTGTGACCCCACAGACCGCAGCACACCAGGCCTCCCTGTCCATCACCAACTCCCAGAGCTTGCTCAAACTCATGTCCATCGAGTGGGTGATGCCATCCAACCATCTCATCCTCTGTCATCCCCATCTCCTCCTCCCTTCAACCTTTCCCAGCATCAGGGTCTTTCCAAATGAGTCAGTTTTTCGCATCAGGTGGCCAAAGTACTGGAGTTTCAGCCTCAGCATCAGTCCTTCCAATGAACACCCAGGACTGATCTCCTTTAGGATGGACTGGTTGGATCTCCTCACAGTCCAAGGCACTCTCAAGAGTCTTCTCCAACACCACAGTTCAAAAGCATCAATTCTTTGGTGCTCAGCTTTCTTCACAGTCCAACTCTCACATCCATACATGACTACTGGAAAAACCATAGCCTTGACTAGATGGACCTTTGTTGGCAAAGTAATGTCTCTGCTTTTCAATATGCTGTCTAGGTTGGTCATAACTTTCCTTCCAAGGAGTAAGCGTCTTTTAATTTCATGGCTGCAATCACCATCTGCAGTGATTTTGGAGCTGCAAAAAATAAAGTCAGTCACTGTTTCCACTGTTTCCCCATCTATTTCCCATGAAGTGATGGGATCGGATGCCATGATCTTAGTTTTTTGAATGCTGAACTTTAAGCCAACTTTTTCACTCTCCTCTTTCACTTTCATCAAGAGGCTCTTTAGTTCCTCTTCACTTCCTGCCACAGGGTAGTGTCATCTGCATATCTGAGGTTATTGATATTTCTCCCGGCAATCTTGATTCCAGCTTGTGCTTCTTCCAGCCCAGTGTTTCTCATGATGTACTCTGCATATAGGTTAAATAAGCAGAGTGACAATATACAGCCTTGATGTACTCCTTTTCCTATTTGGAACCAGTCTGCTGTTCCATGTTTGGTTCTCACTGGAGGAGCAGACCCAGAGATCGATGGAGCAGAACAGAAAACCCAGAAACAGATCCACACAAATATGCCCAGTTAACATCTTAAAAATGAGCAAAAACAACTCAGTGGAGCAGGGATAGTCTTTTCGGCAACTGGTGTCGGAGCAACTTTAGCCAGTGAAATCCACTGGCTAAAAAATAAAGCCCAACTGAAACCCCATGCCTTGTACAAAAATTAAACTCCAAATGTATCACAGACTTAAATCTAATATGTAAATCTGTAAACTTCTAGAAAAGAACAGAGGAGAAAATCTTTAGGACACAAGCATAGGGAAAGGGTTCTTAGACCCGTCACCAAAAACATACTCATAAGGGGAAAAACTGATGATAGACTGGGCGTCATCAATAGAGAGAGATGGAAAGAAGCATTATGACTGGGAGACAGTGTTCTTGAGTCACACACCTGAGAAACTTTTTGCATCGAGGATATAGGAAGAACCCTCAAAACTCAAGATTAAAAATAAATCTGATTGGATAATAGACAAATAAGTGCATAGACATTTCACTGAAGAAGACACATGGATGGGAAATAAACACCAAAAGTATTCAGTATCAATAGCCATTAGAGAAATGAAAATTAACACTGCAATGATACATCACATCTACCAGAATGGTTAAAATGGAAACAGTTCTGAGGAGAAACTGGGCCATTCATATTTTTTGGTAAGAATGTAATTTGGTACAAGCACTCTGGAAAATACTTGGCAATTCTCTCAAAACTAAAAATGGACTTACCATACGACCCATAATTGCACTGTTGGACATACATCCCAGAAAAATGAAGACTTATTTTTATGCACGAACTTACATGGGAATGTTCACAGCACATTTATTTATAACAGCCCCAAACCAGAAACTATTTGTATCTCCTTCAAAGGCTTTCAGAGGCTGAAGGCTTTAACACACTGGTGTATCCACCCCACTGAACGGCATTCAGCAATAACAAAGAATAATCTGTGGGTACATGCAGCAACTTGAATAAACCTCAAGGGAATGATGCTGAAAGAAAAAGGCCGGTCTCAGAAAGGATATGCATGATTCCATCCGCACAATAATCAGGAAGTAACAAGATGGAGATGCAGAAGAGACGACAGTAAATTCCAACGTACAGACGAGTCCCGTTCCAAGAGCATGTTCATCAGTCCCACAAAGTCAGCCTGGGCACCCACCACACTGCAGGGCTCAGTCGCCCAGTCGTGTCCGGCTTTGCAACCCCATGGTCTGTGGCCCACCAAGCCCCTCTGTCCATGGGAGTGTCCAGGCATGAATACTGGATTCAGTTGCCATTTCTTCCTCCAGGGGATCTTCACAACCCTGGGATTGAATCTGCATCTCCTGCGTCTCCTGCATTGGCAGATGGATTCTTTACCACTGTGTCACCTGGGAAGCAGGTCTGGAATGCTTTTCACTTGTTGCAACTAAGACCCAACTTAGCCAAATCAATAAATGTTGTTTTTTTTTTAAGTTTCCATTGGAATGGCTGTTATGCTACCTCTGCTATAATTTTTTTCTTGGAATTTCCTTTCCTCCCCTATAGATGCTTTGATATGGTCCTGCCCCGAGCTGGGCTTCCCGTGTGGCTCAGCTGGTAAAGAATCCGCCTGCAACGTGGGATACCTGTGTTTGACATCTGGGTTTGGAAGATACTCTGGAGAAGGGAACAGCTACCCACTCCAGTATTCTGGCCTGGAAGATTCCATGGACTGTATAGTCCAAGGGGTCGCAAAGAGCCGGACACAACTGAGTGTCTTTCACTTGACCGTGCCCCCAGCTAGGCAATACCCTCCTCCCAACGCACAAAGACAGAGAAATAAGGGCAGCTCCGGGAGTAGGAGTCCCGCTTCACCAGGGCTTGGGATGTCTTAGGGCCTTGGACCTATGGCTTAGTTCATAAGGTGTGGTCCTGTATCTCCTGTTTGCCTTCTGCTCATACGGAATAAGATCTAACTCAGGATGCTGCATCCTCACCAAGTACCACCTTTCTACCCCAACCCAAAGCTTACAGTGGTGGCTCCCTCAGGGGGTTATTCAGATAAAATAGAAAAGGAAGAAGTCCCCATCCAGTGACCTTTCTGAATTTATTTAAGACCCCATCTGCCAGGGATTCCCTGGTGGCCCAGTGGTAAAGAACCTGCCTGCCAATCATCCCTGGGTAGGGAAGATCCCCTGGAGGAGGAAATGGCTACCTGCTCCAGTATCCTTGCCTGGGAAATCCCATGGACAGAGGAGCCTGGTGGGCTGCAGTCCCTGGGGTCACAAAGAGTCAGACCCAACTTAGCAACTGAACAACAAGCCATCTGCCAAACACGGCTGTCAAATTTTTAGCCAACTAAGCTCAAAGGTACCCGTTCCATGTAGACTGACCAACTAAGATTGTTTCAGGTCTCAGAACTGTAAGAGTCCTTGGCCTCCCCGCATCCAAGGGCTCTCCTTTCTAATAACTGCCTGCCCAGTCAAAGCATTACTCACCAGTCTGAAAAGGAACTCCATTCCCCGGAAACCTGCAAAGCGCAAGCATTTGGATTAAGACGGCAATTTTGCCAACTTACGTGGAACTGGTCTGAGGTTGTTCAAATGCTTCTTTGGGAATTTTAAGGCCAGGGTTTCGCTTCTTGCCTACAGGGAAAGACGGAAGGATAACGTTAAGGTCTAAAAAATCACAGCGTGAGAGCAGGTACAGAGACGGCAGCGAAGAAATGACGGGATGGGAGCCCAAGTCTCATCCCTGCATTCAGAGCCCCGCTTCCCACCAGGAAGGCTGTGAGTGACGAGGCATAGTTGCCGGGCGGGGCAGAACTTCCGTGTGCAGACAGAGGTCATGGGTGAGGGCTTCCCGGAGTCCATGAGAGGTCCCCGAAGGATGCCAACTCCCTTGACCCAGGGAGACCCGCCTGCCCCTCTTTGCTGGGAGTTCGGCAGCCCAGCCTCCTGCATCCCCTCTTGTACACGACCATGGTAGGTGGTGTTGGCTACAGGTTTCCCTTTATTATGTCCATCAGGGCTTCCCTGGTGGCTCAGTGGTAAGGAATCCGCCTGCCAGTGCAGGAGATGCAGGTTCAATCCCTGGGTTGGGAAGATCCCCTGGAGGAGGAAATGGCAACCCACTCCAGTATTCATGCCCAGAGAACCCCATGGACAGAGGAGTCTGGCGGGCTACAGTCCAGGGCGTCGCAAGAGTCAGACACAACTGAGTGACTAACAAGCAACAACGACAGATCTCAGTCAAGTGCAGTCCCGCCTCTCTCAGCACACAGCACCGTCTAAACGGGTCTGTGATGAGCTGATGGAGTAAAGCAGGCAGCGAGAACCAAAATCCCCCTCTCCACTGCTCCGCCCTGCCCATTCTCAGCCACCTGCCATCAGTCACAATGCCTGGAGAAGGGGAGAGCATTATTTATTTACTTTTGCACTGTTCCAAAGAGGATTAAGATAACAGAAGGGTTCATGCAAGGAGGCTGTCCCTTCTCTGCAAGCCAGATGGAAACGTAATCGATGTATTCGTTGTCCCTAGGCTGAAACCACAAGAGAGCTTGGCTCCAACATTACTGTTGATGAGTTTACAAGAACAGACTGAGAAATGCCAGCTCGAGATATGATCAAGCCAGTCAGTCCTAAAGGAAATCCACCCTGAAGCATCACTGGAAGGACTGATGCTGAAGCTAAAGCTCCAACACATTGGCCACCTGATGCAAACAACTGGCTCCCTGGAAAAGACCCCGATGCTGGGAAAGATTGAGGACAGGAGAAAGTGGGCGACAGAGGACAAGATGGTTGGATGGCATCATCGACCCAATGCACATGAGTGTGAACAAACTCTGGGAGACAGTGAAGGTCAAGGAAGCCTAGCATTTTGCAGACCATGGAGTCAAAAAGAGTCGGACACGGCTGAGTGAAGAACAACAAGTGATCAGACCAACTCGTCTTATAAGGACCCAGGGTTTTCCCCACTAGCAGCGCCTGTCTCTTCACACTTGGAGGAAAGCCCAAAGCAGAGCTGACGGAACACGCCCAGGTTTGCTTTCTCTCCCTTCCTCTGTTTGTAGGGACACTACAGGGCCAACAAAAGCCCTGACGAAGGCCCTGCACAGAGGCATGGAGGCTGTGCAGAAAGTGAAGAATCAAACCTGATTTCCTCCTTGCAGGAAAACCATCCGCAGACTTCAAGGACTGCTCACCATTAGACAGCCTCCGCAATGGCCTGGTCAGAATGAGAATCCAGGTCCCCAAACACCCATGTGACAGCTTTTCCTCTATTCCCCAGTGGATGAAGTGTAGAGGGGACCAGAGAGAATGCAGAGGGGAGGTATGGGATTCTGGGTCTGTAAAGACCAGCTTATACCTGGCTTCTCCACTTGCAAAGAGACTCCGGGGTCACTTTTCATCTGACCCTTATTATCTTCAACTATAATATGGTGTGTTAATAGTAACATCAATACCTACCTTACCAGACTGATGCCAGAACCATGGGATAACACGAGAAAGAGCAATGAAATGATAATAATTATAATCACTTCAAGAAAATCTGCATGGTCTCGTTAAAGAAAAGGAGTTACTGCAGAAACTCAGGAACAGAACTGGCTGGATTAGGAGCCCAAAGCCAGTGCTTTGTGACAACCTCGAGGGGTGGAATGGGGAGGGAGGCGGGAGGGGGCCAAGAAGGAGGGCACATATGTATACCTGGGGCTGATCCATGACGACGTACAGCAGAGACCAACACTATATTGTAAAGCAATTATCCTCTAATCAAAAGGAAAGGTTTTAGAAAAGAATTGATTGTGGTACCACATAGCCCCATATAACGAGACCTTTCTTTCTGTGCCTTCAAAATCCAAAACCCATATTAATTCTGCCAAAGTGTATAAAGCCAGCAAGCAACAAGCTTGATGGTAGTCAACACAGAGAAAGCCTTTCTTATTGGAACACAGCTGCTTCACGATGCCGTGTCACTTTCTGTTGTTCAGCAGGGAATCAGCTGTATGTTTACACATATCCTCTCTTTTCTGGATCTTCTCCCCAGTGAGGTCACCGCGGAGCAGCGGGTAGAGGTCCTTGTGTTATAGCATAGGTTCTCACCAGTTACCTGTTGCATACACAGAATCAGCAGCCTTTATGTCCGTCCCAATCTCCCAATTCACCCCACCCCCACCGACAAATGTCTGTGTCTCCATCTCTTCTTTGCAAACAAGACCATCTCTACCATTTTTTTCTAGATTCCACATATACACGTTAATATACAAGATTTGCCAGAGAAAGCCATTCAGAGCCACCTTCATTGCAACAGGTCGTCTCAATTCTCTCCTCATTTAGATTTCCCTACACGTTTTTTAAGAATTCAAACCTCACCATTTACTTTCCTATTCCTGGAGCTCCTATGGCCATTTAGTACACGTCACTGAGTTAATTCCTGACAATACACAGAGCTGTACTGTGTACCAGAAGGATGCTAAACGCTGGATCTGATTGTGAGAATCCAAACAGATAAATGGCCTGATTCCAACAATTTCCATCCAGAGGCCGCAGTTAAATACACAGCGAAGGCTATTTTACTCGAGATACTCTAGGGAGGAGTGAACAAATGTGACTTATCTGGATCACGACATACAGATTCCAATACAGGTGACCGATCCCAGCTGATACAGCCCTGTAGTTCTCCCAGATAAAACAAAACAAGATGAAACTAAAGTATATCTTGCCTGTGAAAAAGCCTCTCCAGATGTCTTTTGAGCAAGCAACAGTTCTCTCCTCTTCATTCCTAACTCAGTTCCTACACCTCTCCTCTTCATTTCTAACACAGCTCTTACTAGACAGATGTCAAGAAAGATAACTTTATGGAGAAAAACACCTTATGGAAAACTTTAACATACCAATGAATTATTACATCACAGCAATGAATGATTAGTTACTTCCTTAACATAACTGACTCAAACTAAAACCCACCAAATCACCATATGAAGAAACAGCAAAAGAAAGAGGAAAAAACAAACAAACAAAAAAACCATTTCTGGCACAGAGACTAAAGAAAGAGATGGCCAAAACAACAATGAAGTCTTCTAGCCATAGGAAAAGAAGACCACCCCCCACCCCCACCCCAGGTTCTCCTCTGACAAAAACAAGAAAATGCATTCCAGGAGACACAAAACCTGGTTGAATTACACCATCAGAAAACACCCTGCCTTCATGTTTTAAAAGTAGACCAAAGAAAAAAATCACAAAGGCACACGCCAACACTCCTTAATTCACTTACCTGCCCATCGCTGGAAGAGCAATCCAATAAGGGACCAGCAGACGTGACTCTGATGCGGTTTTCAAGGCTGCAAAAAGCAGGAGCCGCAGAAAACCCCACAGCAGGCATTTTCACTCAGCTCCCCAGACCACAGGCTGGAGAGAAGCAGAGCTGCAGAGGCTCCACCCTCCTCCAGCTCCCATCACCCTAGACCTCTGCAAGCTCATTGCTTCCGAGAAGCTCCGACCTCAGCAAGCGAGGGAGACGTGCGTCCGTTTGGACGACCAAGGTGTGACGTTAATCATCAGCCAGGCTGGGAGGGAAAAACCGACAAAGTGACCCTGGAGAGCCCAGCACTCGGCCGCCTTTCTATAAAGGCCTCTTTCATTGCTTAAAAAAAGGGACACAATACGCCGTCTGATTCCAGCTGTGTTTACTTCAAAGCAATCTGTTCCCCTTTGCAAGGCTGCCAACAAACCTGACTCTAACATTTAACATTGTGCTTTTTAAAAAATTAACCAGAGTGAGCAAAATGAATAATGAAACGGAGTGACCGACTGTGACAAATGGCCTTTTTACTTCATATTCAAAAGCAGAAATGAAAGCTAGGTCAGAAAAGAGGCTCCAGGTTATGTCACATGCTGGTAACCAGCCTTCTCAGAAGACCAGAATTCTGTATGTTTCTGCAGATCTCAACCAGCTCTGTCCTCTGAACTGGTTCAGTCTGCAGAGGGTAAAAAAATCACCTTGGCCTGATGGAGCAAACATATGTGGCCCCATCTTATATCAGCCAGTGGCCCACCCACACCCGTCTTCTCAGAAAATATTGTAGTCCCACTACACACATATATTTGCAAAATTCATCTTAAACCAAAGCTGGGTGATCGCAGCCCGGAGCAAAATGGCATTGGGAAAGAATTTAAAAAAAAAAAAAAAAAGGAATAAAAAAATCTTGCCAATACTTAGAAAACATTTACCAAGCCACGGAAATGTTCACCAGCTCTGACCGTCCTGCATGGAGGGGTACACAGACTCGGTGAAGCTGGGCAGAAAGGGTTCCTCTCATCAGCCTTATGACATAAAACAAGTTCCTGCGGCAGGGCCAACCCCAACAGCAAGAGGATGGCGTGGGGTCAATAGGAGGGGCACCGTGAGGCCAGCTTGGCCAGGGGTGTGGGGCCTTGGTGGGGCCTGATGGCAGGGGTTTACCATCATTGACCCAGCCAAATTTATTTTAAAAATCTGTTTCCCAACGTGAATGGGATTTCCAGCCAAGGAACTGGCAACCTGAAGGCCTTGGCTGCCCTCACCTTCATACTTGTATATGAGGCTTGAGTTCCAAGGGTGGCTGGCGCTGAAACCGGCGAGAAGTGTCACTGAATGTCATTAAATC